TAACGGGCAACAGCAATGGCCACGCCCACGGCCACGGCCATGGACATGGACACGGTCGAGCGGTGGTTGGTGGAACGGCGGCGGCGGGCAACAGCGTGAATGTGGATCGTCGACGTCGAGCACCGCCGCCGCCGCCAGTGCGAACGCACTTTAATACGCGCTGTTAACTGTTATACACGTGTGCTGAGTGGGCGTTAGCTTGCAAGCAATACAAAACTGTTATACACCATGGCTGTTATACACCAGTAGTGCAGAAATTTATTAAAAAAAAAAACAGAAAACTGTTATACACCTCGGCTGCTATACACCAGAACAGTACCAGAACAATGGCAACTATACGCATCAACATTCAAGCACATTGAAGAGCCCACAATTACCATAAACCGAAACTGTTATATACAACAGCAATAGCAGCTACAACTTTTAAATTCCGCTTTCAGTTGCTGTTATACTCAATATGTACCCGCTAGAGACAGCAACACCAACTCATTCCAACAACTGTTATACGCAGCTATGATGGCCTATCAATGGGCCACTAATGTGTTATACATACCAACATCAGCAGGAGCAGCAGCAGCAAATCACCAGAACATCATTTCCACAAACTGTTATACACGACATTCCACAGTTGCAAACATTCCCACATGCATTGCATCGATAACACGAAAGCAAATTAAAAAAAAAAAAGAAAATCAAAACGAGTAATCGAAATCGAAGCAGACGAAACTGAAAACAAAACGAAGCGAAACGAAGAGAACGAAAGAGAGAGAGAGATGAAGTAAAAGGCACCCAAGGGTGCTAAAGACAGTGAAGGAGAGATAGAGAGTGAACGAGTGTCGAAGCTTGCCCCGATAACTGTGCAACTAATCCAGAACTGTTATACAGCTTGAATAGCATAGCAGCCGCAGCTATAACAATATAACAATGAATAACATATATACACAATATAACAGTAATGCTCAATATATATATATACACTTTTTTTTATATATAACAACTGTTATACAGCATTAGTATTCTATTTTTTTGTTCAAATAATCCAATATATATATATTTATAATTTTTTTTTTACCTATATATAACTTGTATAGATTTATATCTCTGTATACATTTAAGATTAAGTGCCTGTTAAAGTGAATAATCTGAAGATGTTGCAATATTTACAAAAACAAAATAACGTTGTATAAGTTTACAGGGTATTCGAATTAACAAAAGTTCCCCAAAATATATAGATATATATATATAAAAATAATAAAAATAAAAAAAAACATAAAAAAAATTTATGGGAAATCCAATAACGAAAACGAATCGAAAAGAGATGGAATGAGAGAAACTAGTGCCATGTGCCCACCAAGCGCGAAAGAGATAACAACAGAGAAAGCAGACAAAGAAGAAGAACCAACTGGTATATAGTATATGAGTAGAGATCTCTGTTAGGTTGGGTCAAAATGCTGACAAGTTAAAAACAAAAAAAAAAAAGACAAAAACTAATATTTTTTATACACATACAAACATACATACATACATGTATGTATATATATGATCTATATATATATATATATGTATATGTTCCATGTTAGTGCTTAAATCTAATTTATTATATATGAAAAAATCAAGAAAAACAAATTCGAAAAACTATACCCTCCTATAAATACTAATACGAACTAAAAACATTAAAATGAATATACACAAAAACTGTACTACTTACTGTTATACATACATATGTTATATGTGTGTCTATACATGTAGCGATCGAGAAATTGAAAGTCTAACTTATGCTCGTTTACTTTATATTTATATAAATGTCTAACTGTACTACGTGTATGTGTTATACAAGAATTTGCAATTTGCTCAATGCGGCATTAGTTCATAAGTAGCACAGTGCTAACTGTTATACAGACACACACATAGGCATATATATATATTTATAAATATATACACACATACACACATGTTTATGCTGTTACAAAAAAACAAACTGTTATACGCTCTATTATACTTTATACAACTAGGCAAACAAAAAACGCTTACAAAATGAATTATGCAAACATGCCACGCCCCCACCACAGCCCTCCAATAACTGATTTGATTCATGTAGATGTATATATACTATATATGTGAAAAATGTTGCTTAGCTGTTATACGAACGTGTATAACAGCTATATTGCCTCGATGTGCGCTTCTAAATAAATCAAGCAATATATATGTATATATAAATCGAATACTTATAAATTTAGTTATATTACTATAATATTACCAGATATATGTATATATATCGGATGCATATACAACGCGTATATTTTTGTATGCAGAGTTAATAATTATTGTTTTAAAATACATTTGATTCTGATCAAAACCCTAAACAGCAAATGGTTTTTCTTAAAGGGGAATATGGAAATATTTGTATGTATATTTCTGGAGTATGGGCACCTCTAAAAATGGAGTAATGCTCACTAGGCACAGCATTTCTAAGTTCCAAATTCCTTAGATACATGAACTCTATATGGAGCTATTGAGGTCGTGAGTTAGAAGTTCTGACTATACTCTATTGACTGAGTCTAGAAGCTAAAAGCATTACCAAGCATTCATAGAACTTGAAGGGACTTTATGGATACACATACATACATATCTATTAGATATTATTCAAAAGGGTATACGAATGTCGAATGAACGAAAGCAGAAAATCCCATAGATATATGTATGTAAGTATCATAGACCATAAAAATATAGCTTTTACGGTTTTCTGTGTTCCGGTTAAATGTCTTCCGCTTGTTAATAGAGCAAAATGGAGAGCGCTAAGAGCTGGCGTATAACAGTATAATAGTTAATTGCTATTAAATTGATTTAGCTCTGCCGGTTGAGTGTTTCAAGTGCACTTAGTTCACTCGCCTGCACTACTACGGCCGTAATGTTACGGGATGGGAAGTTATGGTAATGGGGGGTGCGGAACAGGCGGGCTCTGTGCTTCTTCTTTTTTCGTTTTTTCTTTCTTTGGCATTGTTGCTTCCAGGAAGCCTCGCAGCCTAACAATGTTGGATACACACAAAATAAAGGGCAATACGACAGGTTGTATCCATCGTGGAATTTGTCCCAGACCATGGTCGGAAGACGGATCGATATCAGTGTATGTATACATGCATATACATACATACATACATATGTATGTATGTATTTAGTTGGCCGGGCCAACAGCCCAGGACAATTGTTATACATGCATACAAAACATTAGAAGTAGGAGGCGTGGCATATATACATACAGTTACGTACATGCGCAGTGCAAACGTTTCCTGGTCATAAAATGGAACGCACACACACACTCTAGCGCGCTCGCGCTTACATATGCATGTAAAATGTATACTATAAATACGTATGTACATGCATATACAAATATATATATATGTATGTATGTGTATGCATACATTATATGGGCTGAAGCTCAACAGCGCTGCGCTGCTGACCGCTCTTGGCAGCGCTGCAACGTTGCCATTTTTCAAGCTGATACTTAACAGCTGCTGTTAAGTCAGCTGTTCGCTGACGAAATCAGCTGCTTGCGCTAATTAGCTACAGTTTTTCTCGCGCATACAAACACATAGACGCATGCTGTAGACATTGCATGCTAGCATAACGGTTGAAAAGTGCGTAATGTACTCACCATGCTATACGTCATTCAGTGCAGCAGTCGCAACTGCAGCTGCGCCAGTGTCAATGCAATTTACTGCAATCATTAACAGGCTCTGCCGCTGCCATAGCGAGCGCCACTGACGTGACGTAGCAGCGGCATCGGCAGAGGCAACGACGCGCCGTTACGTATTCAAGGTCTACATTTGTGTATCGATACACGAACGTTTGTATGTACTAGCATGTGATTGTGCCACAATTTCGTATGTATACGCTTGCTCATGTACATTTACATATGTATACATTCATGGATATACATATATGTACATACATATATATATTTATAAATATGTATGTATATATATACGTACATATATACATACATATATATGCTTGTACAAATGGTATACATACACGCACGCTAGTGTACTGGAGCAATGGTCGCTGCTCTCGTTTCAACCCCCAACACGAAACGCGCCCCTTTTGCACGACATGCCCATTGCCATGCCCCGTCGTCACAGCGTCGTCAGCGCCTTGCTTTGCGTTTTGCTTTTGCTTATGACGTGCTCGCACGTACGCGACGCACAACTGTTGTGTATGTGTGTGTATGTGTGTGTTTTGGTGTATATATACATCGCGTCATACACACATACACATAGAAATACGTATATGTGATACAGTGATATCTCGCTAGCACCACACGCCATAGTCATGAGTTAGTTGCCTGCTCAACACGGACATCCGATGTGCTGACTTTGTTCTTAGTGTCGAGCTCACACTGTAGAAGTAAATGCACATGTGTGAGAGTGTGTATCTGCCAAAAGGCACACGCATACATATGAGAGCGAGAGCGTGCGCGCATGAACTCAAAAATGTGTACAATAGTAAACGGCAAGTAGCCCAATTGCCAATTGGCATCACTGAAATAAACTACTATGTACAATGAATCGGAATGTGACAGATCTGAGTGCTTCAATTTTTTGGCATCACAACATTTGTATTGCTTATACTATTTTATATCCTGCTATTGAATTTAATTATTGTTAATTATTTAAATAATTCTACATTTGTACTACACTTTATATAATATAAATAAAATTTTTTAATTTTATTTGTTATAGCCTAGTAATACCAATACATAATAAACAATATCCAATTGTCAATTTTCATAGATACATACATATGTACGTTTATGTACGGATGCATAAACATCCCTAGTACAATTGGCTGTCTGCACGACCTATGCACGTTGCTTTGTGTATATGTGCACATTTACCACTGGGTCGCCAGTGCTGCTGACTATTTGACGTGCCTGCTTTTTTTTTCTTTTCTTCGTTTTGTTTGGTTTTGCTTTTACGCTACTTTGCTTTGCGCACCGCTCATTTTCATCATTCTGTAGCCGAACGTTGCCGCGTCAAGTTACGCTTACGCTAAACATTCTTCGGTGTTGTTGGCCACACATATTGAGCGTCGCTCGGTACGTGTCTTTGCTCTGTGCTCTGTGTGTGCGTGTCTCTGTGTATGTGTGTCTCTGTTCATGTGTGTATTTTGTGCAGGCGACAAAGACGTAGAAAAAAAACTGAAGCGTACGTGTATGTATAATACGTGCATACATACATGTGCAGCTGCGTGTTTATGTGTGCGTGCGCCGCAGCGCAATAGAAATAATATTTAAAAACAATCAAACTACTTTTTTTTTGACAGTGTACAGAAAAAAACAAAGTTTAGAAAAATAAATACCTATTTTTTTTTTTTAATTTTTTTGCTGGCCATGTGTGTGTGTGCAGCAGCGAAAATCAATAACAAAGCGCAAGACGCTGACAGCAGCAGCAGCAGATAAAAGAAGAAAAGGAAAAAAAAAAAAACAAGTTTTGCAGACGGACATGGCTATAGCGTGTCGGCTAGTCGTGCTGAACAAGAATATATATTCTCTGTGCTTCAAACAAATTTATAAGAAGTAATTTACATATGTATTTGTGTGTAGATGTGTAGTTGTATATAAAATGCCGGAGCGCAATGATAAAAGCGACAACAATTCGCCGGTACAACAAAAGCAACAACAACAAAAACAACATCAGCAAACGGCGCCATTGTTAAACAATTATCGATATTTGTTATCGACAAGCAATTAATCAAGCGCTTGACAGAAAACCTATTCTCGTTCTTTCTACTCCGTGTGTGCGTTTGTACGTTTCTGTCGTGTGTGCGTGTGTGTTTTTTTTTTGTTCTTGTGCATTTGTGCGCGCAGCGACGCTGACGCCAAAAAGTGGGTCGAGTTGCGCGCGTAAATTTGGGTCGCAGCAGCCGCAGTCACCGTCGCTGTCGACGTCGTCGTCGTCGTTGCAGTGCATTCCATTCGACTTCCAGTTGAACTACTAGAAATCTAAAAGTACATATACAAATACACGCACCCCAACCCACCCCCTTGCAAAAGCAACAATAACAACACCAACAACAACTACAGCAACAGCAACCGCAACCCCAACGAGATGTCGCTGCAAACGAAGAGGCAGCACTGCTACCTCTGCGATCTGCCCCGCATGCCCTGGGCCATGATCAATGACTTCTCGGAGGCCGTGTGCCGCGGCTGCGTCAACTACGAGGGCGCCGACCGCATCGAGGTGGTGCTGGACGCGGCCAGGCAGATGAAGCGCCTGCATCCGAGCAGCAAGCGCGCCCACGAGAACGGCGAAGTCGTCGTCCTGCAGCAGCAGCAGAGTCTGCAGCAGCAGCAGCTGAGTGGCGGGCCACAGCATCGAGGCGCTCCGAGCACCTCGACAGGTGGCGGTCCGGGGCCGTTGTCGCTGTCACATCATCATGCCGTGGCGGCCGCTTATCAGATGCCGCGCATCGGTCCGCCGCCGCCGCCACCGCAGCAGCAGCAGCAACAGAGCAGCGGCGTCATGGACTTTCCCGTTAAATTGGAGTCGGCGCCGGATGTGCGACCGGTACGCATCTCCCATATGACGCCCCACCATATGCCGCCCACAGCCGGCCAGCGTGCCGGACCTGGACCCGGTCCCGTTACACAGCAGCAGCAGCCGCCCGTTGGCAGCGGCGTCAGCGCCTCCGCTCTGCTGCCCGCCCTCTCCGTTAACCTGAAGCGTCCGCCCTCCGAGGACGTGGACATTGAGTCACAGCAGCAGCAATCGCACGGGCCACCGCACGTTGGTGTCGGCGTCGGCGTCAGCGTTGCCGATCTCGCTGCCGGCAGCAGCAGCGTCGGCGTCGGCCCCTCCAGCGTCAAGCGCAGCGCCCTCGATGATCCCAACGGCGTGCGGCCGCCCTTGACACGGGGCGAATCGCTGCCCGCGGTCAGCTACGTGCCCGAGCGTCAGCTCAACTTGCGCGACAAGCAGCAGCCGGTGCGGGCGCCCAGCTTCGATGCGTCGACCTTCAAGGCAGCCGGTAAGTTATGCAATAATGACTGACTAGTCGAATGCCCTGTAGAATGGGAAAAATTAGACCAAAGACTAGAGAGACAATTACCATAGTCAAATACTAGCAGAATGGAGATGTGTGTGTAGAGTGGCTAAGCAACTACTATGTAATACCCTGTAAAAAATTCCTAACATGTCAAATAGTTAATGTACTTAATACAGTAATAACCTATAAATATACATATATCATGCCTTGGTATTTTATTATCACTCTATTTCGAGTATCCACTCCAACTGACAACTGTAAAACGTTTAGTTAGCGACGAATGTAACATACCCTGTAAAAACTATTTGGGGACTTTTGTTGGTCATTTGGTATTTATAGTATCTTGAGTACGTTAGTAAGCAGCGACTGCGCCATACCCTGTTAGTCAGTATCAAGAAAAGTACCGTAACTATTTGTATATATCGGCAAGTTCTTAGAATAACTGTAAATGGCATGCTGTGCTAACAGTGGAACAAAAGCCGCTTTATTCAAATATAATTCTCCATTATCTATAGACACATTTACTTATATACATATACATATATCAATGTATATACACACATACATACATACATACATATTTTATGAAACATATGTCTTCATCTCTGATTTCAAATTTTTTAATTTTAACATCTTTCAAAAAGTTTCCAATGAACATCGCGAAACATGCAAAAGCTTCGATTCCGTGTGTATGCACACGCACACACGTACACATATATACATATATATTTACACGTGTGTGTGTGTGCCGTTGGAAGATAAGCGCCGCTGCGAACTGGCACACAAAATCCCAAGTCGAGTGAGCGAGCGTGATTGTCGCTTATCAGAACTAAAGCGAGACATAGAGAAAGGGAAAGAGAGAGATAGAGAGAAAGGGAGGACAGATAGACAGACATACTAGGCGCAAGGGTGAGTGTGACAGAGAGAGAGAGAGAGTGGGGGCACAGGAAGAGATAGCAGATAGGAAGAAATAAGTTGTGCTTATCAGTCGAGCAGCAGCGCGACTATTGGCTGATAACTGGAAGCGTTGGCAGCGCAGCGCAGCGTCGTCAACAGCAGATTAGATAACGGAACAGTCTATATATGCATATATATGTATATATATATAAATATAAATAAATATACATATGTATGTATGTATGTATACACAAATATGTATACTATGTATGTATGTACATACAGCCTGTTATCAGCCACCGCAACCGTCGCCGACGCTTATCGGACAGAGCCGCGTCGCTAAGCTAATTCTGGTGCAGTTGCAGTTGGTGGGTTGCCTTGACGCAGCTTTTTTTTTTTTGGAACGCATGAGCTCTTCCAGGCGCTGGGCCACAACAAATAATGCGTGCGTGTGTGTGTAAAGTACACATACATATGCACATATGCTAAGCTTGGAAGGCACCAAGTGCATGGTCGAATGGAAATGGCAGAGGGAGAGCGAGATATAGAGATAGAAACATAAATAGACACGGGCAAAGCTAAACAAATTGCATGTGTTTAACTAATTTTGGTAGTCATTTTCGGACCCACCAAAATGTCACGTACACAGTCAGGCACACACAGTCACCCACACAGACAGAGTTGCACGCATTTTGCAATACAACAAGGAGGACGGCGACGACGCAACCCTCATTGACAGCAGCGGCACCTTTTGGTGCTGCCAACCCTTGCCATAAAAAGGCATTTGCTGCTCGTCATGCGCAAAGCCAAAAAGCTAAAATACATAACAGGCATTCAAAGAAATATATATGTATGTATGCATGTACGTTACATATATACATTCATACATACATGTATACATATGTATGTATACATACAACTCGTATTCGGCTACACGTAACCCGAAAGGACGGTACGCGACCCGAAAAAATGTAATAAAAACAGACGTGCAAAAAGTCAACGTCGCTGCTGCTGATGCTACTGGATTGTGAGCTAAGCTGAGCTGTGTAACTGTGTTTCTCTCTCTTGCGTGCCAAAGCTCTGTCGTTGGCTATTGCTGCTGTAACTGTGCCTCTCTCGCTCTCTCGCTGTTACTGCTGCCTGGGCTAAACGGGTTTTTCGATTTACTGCTGGGTTCTCAACGTTTCTATATTGTTGTTTTTTTCTTTCATTCTTGTGTTTTTTGTTTTTCTCATTCTTTTGTGCTTGTGCTTGTGTGTGTGTGTGCGCGCAAAACGTCATTAAACTTGTTTTGGTTTTTATTTCTTCTTTGCTGTTTTACGCTATGCGATAACAAGTTGCACACACACACTTACACAGATACGCGCGCATACGCAGAACAGCAAACAGTGTAGATAAAATTTGTAGTTAGTATACGGTACGGAACGGCGGACTGCAACAGCAACGTTTATCGTACACACACACACATATACTTACAATCTATATGTATATTCATGTACATATGTATGCGTATACATGCCCGAATACCCACCAAATAGAAATGAAAATCAAAATAATGAGAATTTTTCGCGCATGCCGATGCCGTCATCTGCCGCTATACAGTGGGCCCAAGCGTATTTTCATTGATGATCATTTCAGTTTAGTAAAATATTTACTGCTGAGTTGGGGAAAAAATATATAATCGATGGATGATTTAATTGTTACTTAAGGAAATGCTGTACAGTTTCGATGGCATTTGTTTTATAATCATATTTTGCAAAATGTAGTGGAAATCTTATTGACAATCTTATTGACATCACTGTGCGTGTTTCTCTGTATACATCCATACTAACATACAAACATACATATGTATGTATGTATGCTTTTTGTTGATTTTTGGTCTTTTTCGTTTTACTTTGCTGTGGACACTTACTGTCTATTGCTTGTATTTACGTTACGTTTGTGCTTTGTATATAATATGTACGCCTGTATTGGTGTTTCATTACCAAACTCTGTAACTGTATGTGTATACATATGTATCTGTGTGTATACTAAAAATACAACTTTGTGGTGTACATATAAAATAAGGCTGCACAATATTTATACATGCAGATATAGATAGATATGTAAACATATACATATGTATGTATGTATATGTATTCATCAACAGCATCAGCTTTTATAGCCCAGCACATAATGCATACATGCAGTGCATACATACACAAATATTTAGGCACACACATAGAACGTGCGAGTTGCCTGCTCCCGGCCGCCCACTTCTCTCTCTCTCTCTCTTGCTCGCTCTTTCTTTCCTTCCTTCCTTCTATGCGCCTTGTATTCATTCAGCTCTCTTGCAATTGCAGCTTGCATTGAGAGCGCAGACATTTGCGACCATTCCAATGTGCGCGTTAGTCACAAATATTTCATTGTGCATACACTTCTGTCTCTCCCCCACGCTCTGTGTCTGTCTCGCACTGCCCTTTGTAATAATTAGGCACGCTCTCTGTCAATCAGAAGCATCTCATCATCAGCATGCAGTGCAGCACCTTTACCGTTAACACGTGAACAGCAGCATGCAGAGAGAGATCGCGATGAGAGCTCTTGCAAGTGTGTGAATGTGTGTCTGTGTGTGTGCGTGCATGAACCTAGGCAACATCGCAGTCGACGCCGCCGCCGTTGCCGCCGCTAGCTCTGCCTGCTGATTAGCTGCATTAGTGCACAGTGTGACCAACCACTACAAGCGCACGTAATACGTGTGAATGAAAGCGACACTGTTCTTGAGTGCATAAATCAAGGAAAAAAGAAAAGAAAAGCAGAACTAATAATATTTTATTTTGGTTAGTCGCTAGCACATGCCCCAATGGATGATAAGCGAGACAATAAAATAGGGTATCATGCCGCGTTGACATATCTTATCTAACGTTCTATCAGCGAGCAGTGCTTATCAGTCGAACAGTGGTGCAGATAAGCAGGTACAGTGGTTGTGAAAGTAATTGTGTGAAAGCCTATTCATTATGTATGCAGGAACAGAGATACGATTAAATATAATCAATAAAGCACTGTTGGCGCTTTGATAATGTAGATTAAATATCAATGATTTATCGATTCCATGGTTCAGACATGTGTATTTGACGTGAGTGTGGGAGGAGTGTGGCTAGTAGAGTAACTATTGAAGTTATATAATTTTTAAAGCTAGATTTTGATATAGAAACTAAATAATTTGCCGTTTTCCCTTAACATAGCTAGAAGCAAATCAAAAGGTTGCAAATTTTATTGTATATTTTGAGATTTTCAAGCGTTTCCTTTGTGATTCCCAAGCACTTTAAGCATTTGCATTTACTGAGCAGATAAGACGATTGTGAGTAAAGCACTTATGAGAGCTCCCTTGCGAAGTGCTATGCCTTTCATGCTATTTATATAAGTTCCAATTAAATTAGTTTATTTTGTGTGTATATACTCTACATATACATATATATACATATATATATAAAGTGGCTCCACTTTCATTTGCTTTTGGGTTGGTTGGGTTTTATGCACACAGCTGTTTTTGGGCTCTTATCTTATCTCTAGGTAATTGCCTGCTCCTCATTGAGGCCACTATCTTATCTTATCCATGGCCAACTATGACTGATAGCGAGTGGCTTGTGTACTCATAATCATATATACATATATATATGTAGATATGGATAGTATTTGTTTTCTAGATAGAGGCAGATCACACGACTTAAGTGCTGCTCTATTCTAGGCATATCATTTGTTTATTTTTGATTACGGCTTTCTTCTTCTCTCTGTTCACTGATATGGAAGGCTTGTTATCAACGGAAATCAATGAAGAGGTCTGTAGGCAGACATATATATATTGAAATAATCTCCTTGAAGCAAATAAAAAGATGAGAAAATGATAATTCTCTAATTACACACAAATGTTTCATTTTCAATAACAATAGCTGAATAATTTTGCAAATTCTTCAAGATCTAAAAATATACATATGCTATATACCATACATATGCATATACATATGTATGTATTGGGGTGTGGCCCCTTTCATTCATCTAATACAGGCAAATAGTTTTTTTCTGTGTTTAAAAATTAACAAATGATTCATGTTTGCGCTGTAGTGTGCAAATATGATGCCAAAAGCAGCAGAAAATAGAAATGAAATGAAATGTAAAAGAATTGTAGCTAAATATAGATTGGCCCGAGGAACTGAATGTCTGCTGCATTCACACTGAAGCAAATTGATTGTTTCCAAGGGAATCTAATAGAAATATATACATATATGTGCATATACATATGTATATATCAAATTGTGTGTAATGTTAATATATACATTTAAACCTATAAAACAATGCAATGAAATAGTTCAAATTTCTATATTGTAAATATTTTATTTACGTTCACACAAATCGCTTCGTGCTCACTGTGCACATGGCGCTCAGTGCGGCTCTCTCGCGCGCTCTTTTTGAGTGGAGGCGGCAGCGATGCTCTGCATGCATTGCATACATGTCGATGATGCTGCTGCTTTGTTGTTGTGGCTGCTGCTGCTGCTGTCATTGTTTATTGTTTTTCCTCTTCTTGCTTATTATTATTATTTTTACACATTTTCGTGCAAAATATAAACAAATGCTATAAATAATCACATTTCATTATTGGTGAGGCCACACATACAGCACGCACGACGCTGATGTCGGCGTCGACGTCGACGTCGATACGACGGCAACGACGACGCCAACGCACCAAATTGCGATTGTCTGTGCGCGTTGTTTGACTCGCCAATTTAGCAACGTGGCGCAGGAACAGGCAAAAGCAACAACAATAATAACACAGCAACAGTTTCCAATAAATAAACATAACAGCACTCCCGGGGCAGACGGTAGCACTTGGTATGCAGCCCACTGTGCGGCCGCTGACAGCGTCGTCGACATTTGAGCAATGTGCGCGGCCCCGCTAGGCATACAAATTAAAGCCCAGCTCGAGTCCAGCGTGCCTCTGGGTCTTGTTGCTGCTGTCGTATGTTTATTTTTTGCTTCTTTTTTGTAGCTTTTCAATATCATCATCGGCAGCAAAAGTAAATTGTGGCTACGCGTGCGCGTGCGTTGAATATGTTGAAGCTCATTAAAAGCAAATCGAAAAAAGTAAAATAAAAGTAATAAAAAAAGTCATGTTAACAGCAACAGTTAACAGAGCAGCGGGACAGAGACGCGACCGCGGCCTGTTAAGTCTTGCGCATGTGCGCACACACACATACTTGCTCACATAACTATGCATATTTAATACATACATATATCTATGTATATATAAATAATATACATGTACATACATATATATAATACATATGTATATATATAAATTACGTTTGTGTGTGTATGTTAATTGGCGTGACCGCCGCTCGGCAAGTCACGCGGCGGCCGTGCCGGCTGCGTGACGAAAAAACCAAAGCAAACAGTCAAAACAAAACTACAAATATGCTTGCGCATGTGTATGCGTGAGTGAGTGTGTGTGTGTGTGTGTATGTGTCCGCTTCGTCGTATCTGGTATACATACACGAAGTGTCTCAGCGTCGCGTTGCATGCTTGCAGAAAATGAAAAGGAAGAAACAAAAAGTAAAGAAGACAACAAAAAATATATAAAAGCAAAAAAAAAAAAAATAAAGAAAAGAAAACAAATAAAACCGGCCCAGCCAACTGCCAACTGCATTCTGCACGTTTGCTAGCTCGCTCGCTCGGTCGCTGTTGCTGCTCTGCATGCGTCGCTGCCTTGTGACGTATGCGCAGCAGCACCAAAAACTTGTTTCGTTTCAATTCGTGCCGTTTGCTTCGCTGCCTAGCGCTCTGGCACTTTGCCAACTGACGTCGCGTTTGCAAAAAACCAGCTGGTTGAAGATTCTATTGTTGTTGTTATTGTGGTGTTCGTGCGCTGCGCTGCGGCACAGTGGGGCCAGCAACCTGCATAGTGTGCTGTGCTGTGCTGTGACGTCACGTTGCCGCTGTTGTCGCTGCTGGTGAATGAAAATGTTGTCGTTGTCGTCGTTGCTGTTGCTGTTGCCAAGACACACATACACACGCATACAAAGAACCACATGCATATGTTTGTGCGTATGTGTGTGAGTGAACTGTGAAACGTTCCGTGCCAAGTTCTAAAATTACAAATATTGCGCCAAAAAAGACGAATGAAGAGCAGAAAAAATATCATGCAATGAAAATGATTTCATTTAGTAGTTTTCCTTTTGATTCATTCGCAATTTAAAAACGAAAGCAGCTTTCATTAAGTAAATGTCGAGTATGTTTATGCATGATATAGATGTGTATGTATGTATGTACATAGTATAACATAGCTGCATGCTCTGTTAATATGTATGCATGTGCATACACACACATTCATTTAACATTTTGATGTACAGTATGCTGTCAATAAAGGAAACAACTGTTTCACTAAAATGTTTTATAGTAAGATTTAATATGTAATGTCAACTTATACAGTGATCGACGAGCAGATACTCTGCACGAACTCTGCAGAGCTTTGGCAAATCAATTTGATACTACACATTCGTATTTATACATATTACATTTACATTTTTTATATGTTTATATAATAGAGATTATTAGCTAATTACTATATGATTGCCCTGTAAATTTCATTAGAAAATTGCATTTAGTCATCTATGAAGCGCAGTCGCTGCGTCAACTACGCAGTAAGCAGAGCGCGCATTTAGATTTGTATGCACATATACATATGTATGTCTGTATGTGTGTGCGTGTGTGAATAGCAGTGCTTGGTAGAATTTAGGGCATGTCCTAAGTGAATAAAGCTTTTTTATTTTAATGTATTTATTTATATTTTTTTACATATAAATTTACATACATATGTATGTATGTACTTCATATTGACTAGGAGTCTACTCGAGATCTCTCTCATCTTCTTTCTTTCTCTTTCCCTTCTATGTCGATTAAGCTCTTTTCCATGTTAACCGTTAAGCAGTAAAGCTCTCTCTCATTTGCTTAGCGCTCACTAAACACTGAATTTCTCTTGTATTGAAACTCATCATACATATCAGCTTCTCTCTTACTCCTGTTTGCGTATTCTAATTCTCTTTCCATTCGTTCTTCCAATTGCAGAACACTTGTCTCCAGCCAGCCGTCGCAATGGATCGAGCCCACCATCGGGGCCGATGCCTCCGCGCAGTGTTCACTCGCCGAACAGCACGGGTAAGTTTCAGCTAACTGTAAATCAAATCAAATTGAAGCTAATTGCGATTCTCTCCTGCTCTCTTCTGCAGGCTCTTCGTCGGGTCGCCGCTCGTCGGGCTCTCGCCATGTATCCAGCACAACGGTCACAAGCAGCGAAGTTGGCGGCTCGAATCCAGTGCAGGCGGCCGCCGTTGCTGCCGGCTTGGGCGCTGGCAGCGGCGCTGGCGGCGTCGCCGGTTCGCTAGGCGGACCGGGCGGCCCGAGCAACTCACAGCTGAGCAGTTGCAGCAGCGCCGGCGCCGGCGGCGGAGGCAGCTCTGCATCTGGCAATGGCAACGCTGGACCCTCATCGTTGCCACCTAATCCGAACGCCGTTGCGGGCGATGGCAGCGGTGGCGGCGGTGGCGCCATCGGACCGAGTGGCAGCAACGGCAGCGGCGCCGTCAACGCCGGGCCGGGCAGCAGTGGCAGTCAGGGTGCGCCCGGCATGAGCAGCAGCAGCAGCAGCGGCGGCGGCGGTAGCAGTGGCGGTAGCGCAGCTGGCATTAGCGGTGCGCCTGGCAGCAGCGCAGCGCCAAATTCAGCGGCTGCAGCAGCAGCGGCCGCAGCACAGAATGCGACGCTGAAGTGTACGCTCTGTCAGGAGCGACTGGAGGATACACACTTCGTCCAATGCCCATCGGTGAACATCCACAAGTTCTGCTTTCCCTGCAGTCGTGAGAGCATTAAGCGACAGAATGTGAGTAGAAAGTGAAAGATAGAAAGAAAGCGCTCTGTCTTTATTACGTCAAACTTGGTGTGCTTACTAATGCCATCTCTTTTCATCCCATCATCGCTTACAGGGTCTGGGCAATGAGGTGTATTGCCCAAGTGGTGAACGATGTCCGCTGGCCAATTCCACCATACCGTGGGCCTTCATGCAGGGCGAAATCACCACAATATTGGGCGAGGAGGTGAAGGTTAAAAAGGAGCGAGAATCTTAATGTCCATTTTATTGCAAAAAGCTGCGCAGAGCTTTGGAGCACTTTTGAGCCAGCCAGTGAACAGCGAACAGGGAACAGAAAGAGAATGAGAGAGAGAGAGAGGAAGTTTAATATTGTTCGGCGATCACCGGCTGCACACACACACACGCAACTCTCTTCACTCTGTCTCGCTCGCTCTCTAACAACAATGCATATGTCTGTCTGTCGCCGACGGCAGTCGAATGTCAATTTTTACATTGAGCGAGTCAACAAAAGGAAGAAAACACAAAAATTTTTTTCTGCGGCGGCCGCGACGCCGGCGTCGCAGCTACAACGGGCGAGCGCGCTCTGTCCATGACGACCAACAACAACAACATTTTGTAGGCATAAGCAACAAACAAAACAAAAACAAATGCAATTTGTTTGAAAAAGAAAAAAAAATATTTGTACTTTTAAAGCAAACGAAAAAAGTAAACAAAACACCAAAACAATTTGAAGAAGAGAGCGCAAATGCAAGATGGCAGACATTTTGTAGCGCAAGCTAAGGACTCTTTTTAGCCAAGTGAGAGAGAGAGAGGGAGAGAAAGAGAAGAAGCAGAAGGTGCAGCAAAGAGTAAAATGAATTAATGAATATACAACAACAACAACAAAACACTAAATAACTGAAACAATGAAAGCAAAAACAATTCGATAGGCATTACGTAATATATATATAAACATAAATATATATGTAAACTTTTTTTTGATACACTTAAGTTAAGCTACTTTTTGTTGTTAACTTCCTTTAATTCAAAAAAAAAAGAAAGAGAAAAACAAATGTCTTTAAGCTTACATTAAGTTTTTTTTTTTGTGCTAATTCAATAATTTATTTTTGTTCTCTTAACTACATTAAAATATATATGTCTTTATATATAGAAATGTATAACTAAAATATATATATATTTTTACACTAATTTTAAATTAATTTAAAAAACAAAACACCAGTTTTATGCTAAAGCTTGTAAATATTCATACCACATAAACGGAATACAAATATATATATGTATTTGTACATATATATATTTGTATAAATAATAATAAATAGAAATATATTTGATGTTGAACAAGAAGAAGAAAAGAAGCGAATGAAAATTGGTCAAAAATACAGTAAAGAAATGTCATTGGCGTAATACGTAAAAGAAAATCAAATTTTTTGTGAATGGGCAAAGCGACAACCAACTAACGGTACTCATCATACGCAACGTTGCCGAATTTCAGTGCGGCAACAGCGCATGGAATATGTAATTTTTATTTTTTATCTAGCAGAAATTGTAAAAAAAAAGAAAACAGAAAACAATTTGCATTTTCGAGAAGATGAAGATGAGATGTTAAAAAAGGCCACTGCTAACACTGGACCAACACTGTGTTGTGTAATGCCAACACAAGAAAGCGCGCATAAAGCAAATCTAAAGTTGCCACAAAACAAAACCAAACAAAAACATTTTTCTAGAATGCAAAAAAAAAAAAAAAAAAATTAAGATGAAAACCTAAAAACTAACTTAAAAAAATAAAAAAGTAAGCAGAAATAAAGCTAAAAATATAAAAGCAAAAATTGAAGTTTGAAAAAAATTTGAATTTGTAAAAGAGTGTTGCCACACAGTCAGACATTTTTGAGATTTGGTGCGCTGAAGCCCGTTTTTTAAATAAACTAACATGAAATCAAAAATTCGAGGAAGAGTTGCAAATATATACATATATAAACAAGAATTTATATGTATTAGTAGACATGCATAGATTAGCTGTAAACGAATTTGTATGGCATTCGCTGTTTCGCCTCCAAGCGTTCCAGCTAACTCAATTGTGTCTGTGCCGTCTCAGTCTCTGTTTCTGTTTCTCATTTTTGTTTCACACACTTTGTGATAAGTAGAAGAAAAAAAAAAAATAACAAAGTAAAGAAATTACAACTTGGTGGCAACGCTGGCACCGTGGTGCAAGTCATAAATATAATTGAAGATCTCAAATTTGTAAAATTACGCAATAGGCCAAACAAACATAAATAAGAAACATTTTGTAAACGTAAGTTAGAGAGAACAGGAAGAGGAGATGAGAAAGAGATGAGTTAGAGAGAGAAAGGGGGCGAGTGAACAGCATATAGCAGTAATATAACATTTCCTTTTTGATGTGTGTCTCGATGTGTGTGTAACGTAGTGATACAGTTATCAGATTATAAAGGCAATTTATCTAAGAAGAACAGCAAAAAAGAAAACAAAAACAAAAAAAAAGCGTAAAATAAAAACACAAAAAAAAAGCAAACAAATAAAGAAATCATATTAAGACATTCCTTTTGTGTATGTTCGATGTCAACTAAATGTCTAAACTAAACAGATCAAGATCAATATATAGCATATATATATATATATACATATATATAGAATGAATCGATAACCGATAACACGTATGGCTCGCATATACCAAGTATATCGAATGAAAAGTGTCACCTAAGGCAAAGCATGTGGATAGAGACGATACAGATACCGATACCGATAACGATTACGATAGCGATAATGATTACGATCAAGCTGATACATATGTCAGCCAAACTGGCAAATACTATAAACAACAAGAAAAGGCAAACCTAAATATAAAAAAAGTATATTAAAAACAATTTTCTGTGCTTTTGGAATGGGGACTAGAATGGGAAATTCAGCAGAAAAAAACAAACCATTTTATTTGCACATAATATGCGCAGGTCTAATTTCACTGTTCTCAAGGCTTACTCCTTCTGTGGTGTTTTCATGCTGGCGCCATCTAGTGTGCAGCTGGTATAACTATTGCTTCCGCTGCCATACAACAGAGGGCGCCAGTAAATGTCCAGCTAGTAAATGCCGCTCAAATGTCCCTAAAATATCCCTTTTAATGCTGCTCCAATGTTCGATATTTCCGCCACGGCGCAGCTATCGATAATAGCTAAAAACTATGCAAGAGATTAACTTAAAGAATGCAATAATAAACAGCAGCAAAAATTTGGCTAATTACGCCGTAGGTTTTACAGTTTTTTCGCTTCCTAATTAAAATTCCCGGCCTCAACAATGTTTACATTTTGCAAAGAGAACGTCACTGACAGCGAGAGTGCGAGTGAGAGCGAGCTTGAGAGCATGACAGGCGAGAGCAACGGAATGCGGTGCTGGCTCTGCCTCAGCCGCTGTCGCTGTCGCTGCCGCCGTTGCTGCCAGTGTTGAGCATCGCTCGCTGTGGCTGCTTTATTTGTGCGTGCGCGTTGCCAATAAACGGGCAGAGGCCTCTGCTCCTGGCCACAAAAAGCGCAGCGAATTTCGTTGTTTGTGATAACGAAGCGAAAGAAAATACATAAATAAAAATAATGTAAATTGACAAACGTTTCCGTTTCCGGTGCCTGTGTGCGTGTGTGTGTGCTCGCAAAAGCAGACAATGAAAAGTGTTAATAACAATTGAAAATAGATTTTCATCAACGTATCAATTGATGATTTTGCCTGTGCGCTCTCTCATCGGGAATTCCCTTGCAGCGTCAAGCACAAATTGTTTGTGTTATACACAGGACGTGGCAGGATACAACAACAACGACGGCAACGACGACGACAACGGCAACGGCTTGCGCCCACGCACGGCAGCGCGAGAGAGAGCGAGAGTAAGAGTGCTAGAGAGCGCTCAGTTGGGCAGCTCCTGTTTGTGCAGGCACACTGGAGCTAGGCCCTCAGAACAACTACGCTTTTGTTATTCAACGACTATTGTTCAGTCAACAGCTTTTCTTTTCTCTTTCACACACTTCTTTGGTTTGCAACGTTGTCTTTGCCAATTTACTTATAGCATACTTTTTTGGGCCTTGAATTTATTTTATTTAAATTTAATTTTAAATACTCTGCCTTGCTCCAAATTGACTTCTTTACGCATTTTTAGAGTTTTCGCCAAATATTCCACTTACAAAAGCTTGCTTCATTTGGCCAAAAATCAGTTACTTTTGGCAAATAGCTATCTCTAAAATAAGTTTAAATTTAATCTATGCATACGGTTCATTCAAGCTGTCCGTTCATTAACTTCAATCTATTCTGAGTAGCCTTAGACCACTGTTCGCATAGAGAACTTTCAGCACAATCTAGAAACGTAAGCAGCCGCAGCAACAACAACGAAAACAAGCAGGAGTAGCTGGCGTCAATAAAAGCGGCGCTTTGGTTGCCAACGCCAACGTTAAACTCTCCTGCTTTACTTTTTGGCTGCGTGTGTGTGAGTGCTGTTGTCTCTGCTTTTGTACATGTGTGTGCGTGTGTGTTTGCGCTCTCCGCTCATTACTAACGCAAAATTACACAAAACGTAAAATGTGTGTCGTCGTCGTCGTCGCTATCGCTGTCGTCGCTGCCGCGCTGTCGTCGCCTTTATAGCCGTCTTCGCTGTGTTTCTCATCTTTACAGTTACAGTTCTCGCTGTTGCTTTTCACTGCTGCTGATTGCTGCTATTTAGATGTATTTTTTTTTTCGAGTGAAGACTTAACAAGTTTTGCCATTTTGAAAAAGAAAAAGAGAGAGAGAAAATAACAACAAATATACAGCTGTGCATGTGTATGCAAATAGTTTGTTTATGTGTGGGTGCGTGTGCGTGTGTTTGCGTGTTCCTCGCTCAATTGCTCTCTGCAATTCGTTTTCATTCACAAGTGCAATGCGAACATCAGCAGCGACAACAACAACAATGGCGCGAGTTAACAAAAGGAGTGAAGCGCGTGCTTAACCTAAAAGTGCATGACAAAAGTTTTCACACACACACACACACACACACGCGCATTCAGAGCGCGCTGCTTGTGATTGTGTGTGTGTTTGGTTAAACTCAATTCATGCTCTTTGTTTTCTGCTTCCGCTATCCACAGAGAACAACAACAACAACTAATACTATAAACCACAACAATGCATAGTTCCTGCTGAGTAGCTTTTTGTGTGTGCCTGTGTGTGTGTGTGTGTGCGTGTGTGTGTGCCACTGTGCCTGTGTGTGTGAGAGAGAGTGTGTGTGCTTATGCAGGCATGTTGCGGCTGCTGCTCAGCAAACAGCGCCAGAGCTGACAAGAAAAGGAAAAAAATACAACAACAAACAAAACAAAACACTGCCACCTCGCAACAATACAACTATAACAACGATAGCAACAACAACAACAACAACAACTTCCACTACAGAAGAGTCGCCAAATTCATCCCCCACTCCTTTGTAGCTAGTAAAAATTGCTTAGGAATTAGAAGAAGCAACTAAAAATAAATAACAAAAAACAAAAAAAAAAAAAACAACGAAAGAAAGAACAACATCAGCAAGAAATCCCGTTATGGAACGCATGTGGCGCAAAGTGAATCACAGCCTGCGCAACAGCAAATCACAAACGCCGTCGCAGGCAGCACAGTCGGCCAACGCTGCTGCTGGCGCCGCAACCGGCGCTGCCGGCATTATAACGCCACATTCGAGTGACACCATCAGCTCTGCGGGCGGCTTTGGTGATGCGCAGCTCGTGGTCGCTGTTCAAGGTCTGCCCGGCAACGGTGTTGGCGTGGGCAGCGCTGCCGGCGGCAGCAATGCGACTGGACGCCGTTTGGCCAGCAGCGGCCAGCCGCCATCGAATTGTCACAAATCGCTTAGCCAGCACGTTTTGCAAACGCGCACCGCCTCATCGGAGCGCCGGCGTCGACGTCGACGCAAGAGCCGACCGCGACGCAGCGGCGGCATGGCCAGTGTTACCAGCTGCGTGGGCGATGCGGGCGGTGATAATATGTCGTAAGTAAAGCGCAATTGAACAACAATACTCCAAGCGAACCATGATGATTATTTATTATTATTATTATTTATAATTTATTTTTATTATTATTATTATTATTATTATTATTATTATTATTTATTATTATTATTATT